CGGGGCGTTTCTTGGCTTCGGGGAGAGCACTGGCTGGCTTGCGTGGACGTGAAGCGCTGGCTTGCGTGGACGTGGCTGTGCCTTGGTCGCTGTCGTGGCCGAAAGCCGCGACCAGGCCTCGGCCACGAGGCTAGTACCGGGCCCCTGGGGGAGCCCTGCGTGGAGGATCGGACCCGCAGGTGCTCTCCGCGTGACGCTGCTGCTGCTTCTGGTGGGTTTTTTTTTCCTTTAGTTGAAAGTCCCAGGGCAACCCTTTCAGGTCCCCTCCCACTGCAGGAGCTTTTCTGTTCTCTTGAAAAATCCTGCTTTCTCACTTCGAAAAAAATAAAAGTTCTAGAGATGGAACCTCGCTGTGGGTCCCAGGCTGGTCAGGAACTCCCGGGCTCAAGGGATCCTCCCGCCTCGGCCTCCCGGTGTTGGGTTTGTAGGCGCGACCCCTGCGCGCCTGCTTTTGGCGTCCTCCGGAGAGCCGGCCGAGGGGGTCAGGAAGTCAGGGCTAGCTGGGTGATACTGGGGCCCTGCTTAAACGACACTGTCCAGGAAAACGGACATACCACTGTTGGGAAGATTCCATGGGGTGCGCAGATACGTGGCAAATGTAAGCCTGGTGGTTGTGACTGGCCTGTGGGTCGCCAGCCTGCGGCGCCCCCCCATTTTGTAGGGTGCTTTTACTGAATCTCATTAGGGTTTTATTTCTCCAACGCTGGTTTTCTGTTATGCAAGCTCTTCCCACTTGGTCTTGCTTAACTCTTTTTTTTTTTTTTTGAGTTAGAGACACACTCTGTCATCCAGGCTGGGCTCCGGCGCCGCCTCAGCCTTCCAAGTAACAGGAACTGCAGGCATGTGCTACCACGCCTGGCTGATTTTTTTTGTTTTTGTTTTTTAATTGTAGAGACAAGCTCTTGCCAAGTTGACCAGGCTGGTCTCAAACCCACAGGCTCCCAAAGTGCTGGAATGACAGGCTGAGCCACCAAGCCTGGCCTCAACTGGGTCTTATTGTTCTTCCTGGGCCTTGAGTTCAGCTAGCACTTAGTGGACAGCTTACTGTTTAGGCTAATGGTTACTGGAGAAGGATTTCCAAGCAGCAGATGCCCACAATCCTCCTTCCCACAGATGGACATGGATTGAGCTGACATGGAACCTAGTGTCTTTACAGGTCCCTAGGTGATTCGGTGGTAGAAAACCCCTGCTTTGCCCATAGGTCCTTATGAGAGTGTCATAAGTAAGAGATTTGGCTCCATGGTGTCCCTGGTCCTGAAGTTTACTGCCCTGCACTAGATGTAAGCCCAGCCTCCTGTTCCCAGTTCAGAAAGGTGCTCTCTGGTGCTTCAGACAGCTTCCGGTGGGCTGGATAGGGAGGGTTTGGAGTGTTGCCAAGTGAGAGGCACTGGGCAGGTTTAAAGCTCCTTTGCCTCTGGGCACAGTGTAATTACATGCCTTTGTTTCTGCAGTCTCCAAAAAAGGTTGGTGATGACATCGCCAAGGCAACCGGTGACTGGAAAGGTCTTAGGATTACAGTGAAACTGACCATTCAGAACAGACAGGCCCAGGTATTTACTGCTTGTGCTTGGTTGGAGGGAGGGCAGAGGTGCCAACTAGGATTCCAGAATAAAGGTTTGTGCTACCTTTGGTGAGCTGAAGCCACTTTTATTTTGGTGGGAGGGCTTTGTCAAAATCATGGTCCTAGGGCAGACATGGAGTCAGATACTGTCAATTGTGAAATTCAGCAAGCCACTTAATCTCTTCCAGAATAAGAACATTTTCAGATTGTGAGAATTACTTGAGCACATATAGTAGGCCAGTATCTGGCCCATGGTCTCTGAGAACTGACATACATGTCAGCACTGTTCATTGTTGGCTTTTTTTTTTTTTTGAGTCAATCTCACTTTGTCCCCTTGGCTACAGTGAGTCAACCTTGACCTGCTGGGCTCAGGCGATCCTCTTGCCGCAGTGCCTTTCCAAGTAACGAACTACGGACACTTGTCACGGTGCCTGGCTAATTTTTCTCGATTTATTGTAAAGATGAGGTCTTGCCAAGTTGCCCGGGCAGGTCTCAAACCCCTGATCTCAGGCAGTAATCCAGCCTCTGCCTCCCAAAGTGCTGGGATTACAGGCTTAAGCCACTGTGCCCGGCTCATTGACAGCAATAATCTCTTCTGCAGATTGAGGTGGTACCTTCTGCCTCTGCCCTGATCATCAAAGCCCTCAAGGAACCACCGAGAGACAGAAAGAAACAGAAGAACAGTGAGTTAGTTGTCTTTTCTCCAAAATTTGTCCAAATAGTGACTTATGATTGTTGTATAACCAATGTTCAGTATATGGCTGTATGTTTTCTCTTTAATGCAGCCTGGGGTTGGCATGGGGATTGGGTGGTTTGGCTGTTGGTGCCAGGCATTACCAGAAAGAGCCATGTAGCTTTCCCAATCCCTGTTGGGATGTCTCTCTGCCATCTCAGGTTAGCGAAGTTGTATTTTGCTCTTAGCCACCCGCCACTGCACCTGACCAGTTCCTTGTTGGCTGGTGCAATCCAGTGGTGAGCTGATAGTAAACCCCGGCTTAGGAAACAGGGTTGTTCTTCATGTGGATGACTCTGTGCCGAAAGCATGGGAACAGCCTAGAAGTACATGCAGGACATGGTGTGATCTGCTTGGGCTTCAAAGTGTGATGGAGCACTTGCTGTTTCTTTTCTGCAGTTAAACACAGTGGGAACATCACCTTTGATGAGATTGTCAACATTGCCCGACAAATGCGACACCGGTCTCTAGCTAGAGAACTCTCTGGTAAGAGCAGGACAGTGTGTGACCAACTTTTGACTCTAGTGTGGGTGTTCTTGCTGCCTGGTTAGTATTCCCACTTTCAGTGGGCTCTGTAAGGCTTTGCGTGGAGTACAGCGTGTTTTCGGATTGAAAGAATGTCTTGAGATTTGGATGTGTTTAACCTGGCCAAGGCTACATAGATGGCATTCAGGATTTATGTGACTAGGTGGAGCTCTAAATTTTGTGTTAGGGGAGAAGGTGTCATTCTCATTCCTGCCGTGGAAGTCATATGCACGCCCCTTTATCTGAGCATCATGAGGCACTGAGACCCAGCCCCCCTGATGCCGCTCTTTCTTAATTACAGGAACCATTAAAGAGATCTTGGGGACTGCTCAGTCTGTGGGCTGCAATGTTGATGGCCGCCACCCCCATGACATCATAGATGACATCAATAGTGGCGCGGTGGAATGCCCCACTGTAAGTTGACTGAATCCGCTTTGTTTGATTAGAATAAGGGTGAAAGCTGGGGTTGGGGAGAAGTACCTAATGTATTCATGAAGATAAGCTGGGAGACTCTTTACACATTTGTTTCTGAGTTGGAGTCTAGTCTGCCCAGACAAGTGCAGTGGCGCACTGAAAGCTACCATTCTCAACCTGCTGGGCCCAAGCGATCCTTCCACTTCAGCCCGTCTCAGCCTCCCAAGTAGTTGAAATTACAGGGCACACCTGGTCAATTTTTTGATTTATTGCAGAGATGAGGTCACACTGTGGCCCAGGCTGGTCTTGAGCCCCTGGGCTCAGGCAAGCCTCTCGTTTTGGCCTCCCCAAGTGCTGGGATTACAGGTGTGAGCCACTGCACCTGACTAGGCTGGGAAGTTGTAAGGATGGTCAATGGTGAGGTGGGGAGATAACCTTTGAAAATCCCCTTTTACTCACAGACCTTTTTTCTTTCCCACAGAGTTAAGAAGCAAAAAGGAAATATATTTCAATAAAAGGCCATTTGACAACTAGTATGCTTTTTGATGTGGCATCTTCCTTGAGGGAGCCAGGTCTCGTGGGGTGGTGAAGGGGACCAAGGTGGCAGAACCTGTGGAGAAGTACAGTCTAGGTAACAAGTGGGCAACAAATTCTGCTTCGTGTGGGAGGAGCTTAGGAAAGACTTAACACAAACCACTTGTACTTTAAAGAAAAGCTACACTTCAGAATGAACACATAGGAAAAACACCCATCTCAGACCACTGGATTCAGGGGCTCAAGACCCACATAAGCCCTTGGTAGCCATTCTTGTGCAGTCAGGGTTCAGAACCACAGTGAAGAAACCTGACCATAACAAAAATCTCTCTAATTGTTAACTCTGCTGCAGTACCTGTAGCTTGCCTCTATAGTTAGCTATGCCACCTAACTTTTTCTCTGCATTTATTGCCTAACCCATTAGTGCTTTTTCTTTCGGAGATGGGTTCTCTATTACCCAGACTGGTCTTGAACTCAAGTAACCCCTCCAACTTGGCCTCCTAAAGGCATGAGCTGCCATGCCCAGCCAATTAGTACTAGAGCATTCTTTGACATAATCTGTCCCACCTTTCCCCAATCTCCCATCTCCCCTCAGTTCTATTCCTGAGCGATTTCCTAGGGTCTGCTTATCATTCCCTTTCACTTTGAGATAAACCTCAGGATATTGAGGCATGTAAACTGCACCCGAGCAGCTTCAAACAGGCTGGAAGGGGATTCTGGGCACCACACATTAAAGGGAGTTGCAACGATTGCTCCCAAAAACCCAGGTTTCCCCCACATCAGTCATTTCTCTGCTCACAAGGTTTTGCCCAAGGTTCATATAAGGTCGGTGGCTTTGTTACCCAGCTTGGAGAACTGCCTGCTCAGTGGAACTGACTACCTGGACTTCTGTGGGGGTGAATAAGCCTTTCAGTGCCAAGTTGCCAAGAAAGCAAGCGGCACACAGGACAGCCCCCAGGGTGGGGTGCAAGGAAAAGGAAGCAGGCCAGAAGCAGAGTGGCGACTCCTAAAGCAGCAGCCCCCAACGTTTCTAGCATCGGGACTGGCTTCCTGGAAGACAGTTTTTCCTCAGATGAGGTGGGGGTGTAGGGCGGTCACACCTATTTGAAGAGAGAAATCCACATTTGCAGCTGCTCCCCAGCAGCCTCAGATCATCGGGCATCAGGTTCTCGTAAAACGTGCACAGCCTGGACCCCTACTTGACAAAGGGATTGTGCTCCTGTGAGGACCTCATGGTGGGAAGGCGAAGCGCTGCTCCTCCATCGTTCGCTCGCAGTGTGGCCCAGTTATGCCAAGAACCAGTACTAGTCCCTGGCTGGCATTGGGGGCCCTGCTCTAAAGGAAACATTGTGCTGTTTTCTATGAGCAGTGAAGAGCCTGGGGTAGCTTTATGAGCCAACAGTGCTGTCCTCCAGCGTCCCCATCCTCGGTCCTGTTCGATGTTAAGAGGAATGTGCAGCATCCTTTGCCCTCATCCTAGGTGTCCTCTGGGTTTACCTTCTCTTTCCAACAAGCTCTATGGTGGCTCATAAGGACAGCGCCTAAACAGTGTTTGACTGAATTCTATTTTTCCCATTGCCCCTTTCCTCACCTATATTTGTACCTCTCACCCCAGTATCGATGCCTTGGTATTTCTCAAGTTGCCCTTTCTGGTCAGTACTCATTCATTTTGCAAGTCACCTGACAAAAAGACCTGGCCTTGCACTAGGAACCAGGTTCTTTCCTCACCCATTTGATCACTTATTTCTAATAAGCCCAGGTTTCCAAGTGCTTGCCAAATAAGTTTGCCTTGGGCCATGGTCTGAAATTGAGTTAAATTTGAGTTGGGCCCTTTTGATGCTTACCAATGAAAATGTTAGAGCTTCTACTGGCAACGTAAAACAGTGGCTAAGTATTGAAAATGCTTTTGCATGTGGCTCTGGGCTGTAGCCTGGAAAAGTCACATGGACAGATGTTTTCAGGCTGTCAGGACAGATCCTCACCCCTCCGTCCTGAGTCGGCACATCTGGGGACCCTCCCATGTCTCCAGTCACTCCCCAGCATGGAGTCTCTGATGTCTAATGAAAGCAGAGCTACACCTGAAGGCCTTTCCACACTCACTGCATCCGTAGGGCTTCATGCCGGAGTGAATTCGCTGATGCTGACTCAGGGATGAACTCTGGTTAAATGCTTTTCCACACTCATTACATTCATAAGGCTTCTCTCCAGTGTGAATTACATGATGGCGAATGAGAGCTGAGCTCTCACTGAAGAACTTCCCACATTCATTACATTTATATGGTTTCTCCCCAGTGTGGGTCTTCTGGTGGATTATAAGATTTGTGCTTTGGCTGAAGGCCTTCCCACACTCGCTGCACTTATAGGGTTTCTCTCCAGTGTGGGTCCTCTGATGGTTTGTGAGATTTGCACTCTGGCTGAAGGCCTTCCCACAAGCGTTGCATTTGTAGGGTTTCTCCCCTGTGTGAATTCTCTGGTGCTGGATGAAGGCCGCACAGTAGCTGAAGGCCTTCCCACACTCACTGCATTTGTAGGGCTTCTCCCCCGTGTGAGTCCTCTGGTGGTTTGTAAGATTTGCACTGTGACGAAAGGCCTTCCCGCAGTTGCTGCACTCATAGGGTTTCTCCCCAGTATGGATTCTCTGATGCTGAACAAGGGCTGAACAGTCACTGAAGGCTTTCTCACACTCATTGCATTTGTAGGGCTTTTCTCCAGTATGAGTTCGCTGGTGTTTTGTGAGGTTTGCATTCTGGCTGAAGGCTCTCCCACATTCATTGCACTTGTAAGGTTTTTCTCCAGTGTGGATCCTCTGGTGCTGAATAAGCGATGAGCTCTGGCTGAAGGCCTTCCCACACTCACTGCACTCATAGGGCCTCTCCCCGGTGTGGCTTTTCTGATGCTGAGAAAGGGAAGAACAGTAACTGAAGGCTTTGCCACATTCGCTACATGTGTATGGCTTTGCTCTGTGAGGTTTAATGATTTCTGAGTTCTTGAAACTCTTGGTGTGTGTTTCACATCTGTGAAGTCTCACTTCTGAGGGAATTCTCTGCTGGGGAGAGAGGACGGGCCTCAGATTGAAGCCATGTTCACTGTTCCTGTGTTCTGACTCCCCAGAGGGCATTTCTACATGAGTATCTTGGAATGAGTCTTCAGAAATGGTTTGCTCTGGTGGTGACTTAGATACAGTCTTCCAGTCTGGAAAAAAAGAAAAAAGGCAGAAAAGCAATTGTCTTGTATTCCTTTGGTGAAAGAAATGCAAAAGGCTAAAGAAACTCCAAGCTATTTTTTTTCCTTTAAGTCAGAGTGTCACTCTGTCACCCTGGCTGGAGTGCTGTGGCACACGCGTGCCCGCTGCTGGACTCAGGCGATCTTTCTGCCTCAGCCTTCCAAGTGGCTGGAACCACAGGCACATGTCACCATGCCCAGCTAATTTTTTGGATTGATTGTAGAGATGAGGTCTTGCCGAGTTGCCTAGGCTGGTCTTGAACCCCTAGGCTCAGGCAATCCTCTAGCCTCCACCTCCCAAACTGCTGGGATTACAGGCACGAGACACCACGCCCCGCCTTGGCCAAGGTCTTACACACATAGGCTTAATGAGTTACCTCCTCTCACCCAGAACACTTCTGTTCTAAACCATAAAATAATGAACAAGATGTTTACCCTAATCTTCCTTCCTCAAATGCAATACTCTTTCCTATTTCTGATGCTCCTCTCTGTTCTTATTTTCACAATTCTCGGTGTGGTTTTGGGAGACCTACTTTCTAGACTGAAATAATTCACTTTAAAAAGCTGGTGACCAATGCCAACAAAGATGAATTTGTTTTCACCTATCAAATCAGTCAGATTAATGGTTAATCTAGAGTGTTGGTAAGGGAATCTCTTACAATTCGCTGAGGCTGTATACATTGGGACCAACTTTCTGAAGAGTAGTCTGGTGTTACGAATGAAAGGTCTTTAAAATGTTGACGTGGGACTGGGCATGGCAGCTCACACCTGTAATCTTAGCACTTTGGGAGGCCTGGGCAAGAGGACTGCTTAAGCCTGGAAATCCAAGAACAGCCTGGGCAACAGAGCAAGACCTTGTCTCTTCAAAAAATTAGCCGAGTGTGGTGGCGCATGACTGTATTCCCAGCTACTTGGGAGGTTAAGGTGGGAGAAATGCCTGAGTCCAGGACGTTAGGGCTTTGGTGAGCTGTGACTGTGCCGCTGCACAAGGCCTTGCGAATGCGCCATGATATTTCCAGGGCAACAGAGTCATGAGGTGATGGAGTTCTGTAGCTTCATTAAATCTCCTGGGACCACTGTCATATATGCACATACGCACTCTAGCCTGTGTTAAGAATGAGACCCTGACTCAAAGAAAAAAGTGGACACTAGATGCCACTTGTAAGAGTTTACCCTCAGAAACGAACCAGAGGCTACACAACGCTGGACAGACAAGGGTGTCCACCACAGCATCATTTGTCAAATGAAAACCAAACCTTCAACGTTTAATAAGAGAACAGCTACAGGACAGACAATGGAGGGACAGTATGCAGCAATTTTAAGTCATGTTTGAAATCTGTACACCAAAATTCCTGTTGTAAAGGTTATTTACTGAAAAAAGTTTTCTAGTGTTCTCTAATGACAGTATTTTATATAATAATAGCTGTAAAAAGCTTGCTTTCAAAGAATATGCACTGATAAAAGGAATCAATGTATTGTTAAATGAAAAAAGTATGTTAAATTATACGCCATGTCTGTGTGTCCATGCTTTGATTTTGGACGGGTAAGTTTGAAAACAAAAAAATCATATGCAGTTACCCCCATTTTAGAAAAACATATTCCTACATTTTGAGATATGATGATTGGCAGTTACCACTGTCTGGTATAATTATAAGGATCCAGATTTCTTTTTTATTCATGTTTCCAAATTTTAAATGAATTTTCATTATATTTGCTAAATTATGTTAAAAAGAATAACTGCTTTTATAACCAGAAAAATCGTTGTTTTGGTTTTTTGTTTTAAAGAGTTAAAGATTCTTAACCTTCTTTGGGACCTTTTTCACACTAAGAAAACTTTAATTGTGAATGTAGTCACATGCCATGTAACAAGGTTTTGCTCAACTACTGACTGCATATATGACAGTGGTCCCATAAGTTTTTAACAAAGTTACAGAATTCCCATCATTTAGTGACTCTTGCCATAGGAATATCATGGAACAACACATTACTCACATGATTGTAAACAAACCTACTGCGCTGTAAGTCATGTAAAAGTATAGCGCATAAATTATGTAGAGTACATAATATTCGCACCATATTTTAGGTTTTTTTTTGAGTCAGTCTCACTCTGTCACCCAGGCTGGAGGGCAGCGGCATGCTCACGGTCACCGCAGCCTCGATCTGCTGGGCCCAGCCAATCCTTTCACCTCAGCCTTCCAAGTAGCTGGAACTGCAGGCATGCACCATGCCCAGCTAATTTTTTGGTTTATTGTAGAGACAAGGTCTCACCGAGTTGCCCAGGTTGATCTTGAACCCCTGGGCTCAGGCGGTCCTCTCACCTCCACCTCCCAACATGCTGGGATTACAGGTGTGAGCCACCGCATCCAGCTACTGTAATCATTACTTTTTTTTTTTTTTTGAGATGGGAGTCTCACTCTGTCGCCTGCGTTGCAGTGTGGTAGTGCAATCATAGCTGCAGTTTTGAACTCCTGGGATAGAGCGATCCTCCTGCCTTAGCCTCTTAAGTAGCTGGGACTACAAGCACACCACCACCATAACTGGCTACTTTTTTAAAAATAAAAATCTTTTGTAGAGATGGGATCGTGCTATGTTGTCCAGGTTGGTCTTGAACACCTGGCCTCAAATGATCCTCCTGCCTCAACCTCCCAAAGTTCTGGGATTACAGGCATGAGCCACTGTGCCTGTTAACTATAAACAACCTCAGACAAATCTTTCAGGAGGTATTCCAGAAGAAGGCATTGTCCTATCTATGTGTGTTACTGCCCCAAAGACTTTCGAGTACGACCAGATATGGAGGTGGAGGACAATTATATAGATGAACCCGACCCTCTGTAGGCCTAGGTTGTGTGTCTGTGGGTGGGGGTGGGGGGAAATGTTTAACAAGAAAGCTTGAAAACGAAAAAAATTTTTTAAATAAAAGTTTATAGAATAAAGACAGAAAGGAAGTATTTTTATACAGTTTACAATGTTTGTGTTTTAAAGTAAGCGTTATTGCAAAAGAATAAAAAGTTAAAAAACTGAAAAGTTGGCCAGATGCTGTGGTTTGCACCTGTAATCCCATCACTTAGGAAGGCAGAGGCAAGAGGACTGTCTGAGCCCAGGGGTTCAAGACCAGCCTGGAAAACTTGGCAAGACCTCAACTCTACAATAAATCAAAAAATTAGCCAGGCATTGTGATTCATGCCTGTAGTTCCAGCTACTTGGAAAGCTGTGGCAGAAGGATCACCTGAGCCCAGCAGGTTGAGGCTGTGGTGGCCACGAGCGAGCCGCTGCACTCCAGCCTGGGCGAGAGTGAGACTCCAACTCAATCAATTAATCAATCAATTTAATGTAGCTAAAGTTGATAAAGGCTACAGTGGTAAACAGTAATAACCTAGGCCTGCACATTCACTCACTGACTCACGCAGAGCAACTTTCAGTCCCGTATGCAATCTTTTATACCAGAATTTTACTGTGCTTTTCTATGCTTGCATGGGTGCAGATACACAAATACCATGTGTTACAGCTGTCTACACATTCAGTACAGACACACGCCGTGCAGGTTTGAAGCCTACAAGCAACAGGCTATACCACACAGCCTGGTGAGGAGGAGGCTACACCATCTAGGTTTGTGTGAGTGTGCTCCGCTGCCTGCACGATGACAGAACTGCCTGTCCACACTTTCCTCAGAACACACCCACATATCCCTGTCATTAAGTGACGCATCATGGCCGGGCTCAGTGGCTCAGCCTGTCATCCCAGCACTTGGGGAGGCCGAGGCGAGTGGATGGCCTGAGCCCACAGGCTCGAGACACACCTGGCCAACTTGGCGAGACCGCGTCTCTACAATAAATAAAAAAACTAGCTGGGCGTGGTAGCGCATGCCTGTAGTTCCGGCTACTCGGAAGGCTGAGGCGGAGGGATCGCCGGAGCCCAGCAGATCGAGGCTGTGAGCCGGAGTGTGCCATGGTACTCTAGTCTGGGCGACAGAGTGAGACTCCCGCTAAAAAAAAAAAAACAACAAAAAAACCAAGTGATGCATGACTGTATAATATCTGAGTAAAGACAGAAAGGAGAGGAGAGGTGACAAGAGCTGTGAGAAAGGGGCACTTCAGAAGGTCATGTGCTGCTCACAACGGCCATCCCTCAGCTCACTGCTTCCGAGTCCTGACTCCTGAATACGGCCGTCTGATGACATCTCAGACCTGACACACTCCAAACAGAGCTTCTCTCTGTCCCTTTCGAGCCAGCATCTTTGTCAGTGTCCCCATTCATCAACCAGGGTCATGCTGATGCCTCTTTCCCCTACATCCCACATCCAGTCCAAGAGTGAGTCCAAATGTGTGCTGACTCCTCTTCTTAGCAAGCTTCCGTCAGGTACCTCCCTGGAATGTCTGCAGCAGCCCCCTCCCCACGGGTCTCCCTGCTTCTATTCCTAACCCCTCAAGGTCTGTTCTCCACAGAGCTGCTGAATTTTTTTTTTTCTGTGAGTTGGAGTCTCACTCTGTCACCCAGACTGGAGTGCAGTGGCCGCTCCCGGCCACTGCAGCCTTGACCTGCTGGGCTCTGGCGATTCTTCCGCCTCAGCTTTCCAAGTAGCTGGAACTACAGGCGCGTGCTACCATGCCCGGCTCATTTTGATTTATTGTAGAGATGAGGTCTCGCCAAGTTGCCCAGGCGGGTCTCGAACCCGCGGGCTCAGGCCATCCATTCACCTCGGCCTCCCAAAGGCGTGGGATTACAGGCTGAACCACTGAGCCCGGCTTTGAACTCTTTGTAAACACAAATAAAACCTTGTCCCTGACCTGCTTCAAAACCCTCCCAACAGCTTCCTTTCATCAGTGGATAAAATCCAAATGCCTTCATGACTGAGATGCCCCGCATGGGCTGCCCCCGGCATCCGGCCCTCCCTTGTTGACTGAGCTCCGGCCCAGAAGGTTCCTCTCCGGATCTTCATATGGCCGGCTCAACCTCTTCCTTCAGATCTCAGCTCCACTGTTACCTCCCTGAGGATGTCTTTCCTCTTCATCAGATCTTTTTGTTTGTTTTCTGCGAAGTCTCACTCTGTCGCACAGGCTGGAGTGGAGTGGCATGGCATGACCGGTGCCCACCACAGCTTCAACCTGGGCTCGGGGATCCTCAGCCTCCCTAGCAGCCGGGCCTAATTTTGAGTTTACGCTTGTAGAGCCGAGGCCTCGCCACGTCGCCAGGCTCTTCATCGTGCCTCGGACAGCTGCTGCCCGCTCTGCTCTCCACTCAGCTTCGGCCCCCATTGCTCGTCCCTTACCTGCTTTCTCTTCTTCACAGCCCTCATCACCAGTAAAAGCAGAGCAGCGGCTGTGCTTGCTCATTTTAGTTCTTCGCTCCGGTGGAAGCAGGGACGATGTCTGCTCTTTGCTTAGCTGCCCTTACTAGCTAAAATGGCACTGCCCTGTACCAAGTGCCGAATGCACACTCGCTGAGTGACGGGCAAGGCAGTGAATGGGAATGAGCAAAACCGACCGGCGGGGCCTGGGGAAACATCAGCCTCTACCACAGAAGAGTCCAGGGTGAGTAGCAGGGCAAAAGGCACTTTGAAGGCCTGGATCTGTCACCTGGGAGGGGTGGGCTGGAAGAATGGAGTGCCCGAGCCCAGCCCACAGAGGCACAGTGATGCCCAGGCCCTACGGTGAGTACAGCAGAGGTGGCACTCCATGTGAGCAGTGTCTAGCTACTCTAATCTCCAGAGTGGAAACTTGCCCCTCACTGCTTCTGTTCCTATATCATAATATAGCTGAAAACTTTTTCATATATATTAATTTGTAAAACAAGGATTTTATGATCCACATTTTTCATATATGGAAAAATGACTACATAATTTAGTGGCTTCCCTGAATCCATGTAGTTAATATCTAGCAAGCCAGGACTGAGTATGTCTTTCATGCATTGTGGTATTATTATTCACTTTTATTGAGATGGGGTTTCACCCTGTCTACCCAGGATGGAGTGCAGTGGCACAATCATGGCTCACCACAGCCTCAACCTCCTGGGCTCAAGTGATCCTCCTGCCTCAGCCTACTGAGTAACTGGGACCACAAGCGCGTACCACCATGCCAGGCTAATTTTTCTAGTTTTTGTAGAGATGGAGTCTTGTTTTCTTGCCCAGGTTGGTCTCAAACTTCTGGCCTGAAGAGATCCTCCCTTCTCAGCCTTCCAAAGTGCTGGGATTACATGCATGAGCCACTGCACCTGGAACTTATTTATAAAAAACAGTGTATTTATTCTTACATGTTTAAACTTCAAGCCAGACATGGTGGTTTATGCCTATAATCCCAGCACTTTGGGAGGTGGAGGTGAGAGGATTGCCTGAGCCCAGGGGTTCAACACCAGCCTGGGCTACTTGTTGAGACCTCATCTCTACAATAAATTTTTAAAAATTAGCCAGGTGTAGTGACATGTTTATAGTTCCAGCTACTTGGGAGGCGGAAGCCCCAAGCAGGGAACATCCAGCAAAGATTACTGGTATTACCCACCAAGGAGGAAGGATATGCATCCAGAGACCAGCAAAATCACACATGCCCCAGACAGCTCCCAACCCATGGAGACGTAAGTGTGAGAAGAGGAACAGTGAGCTTTAGGGACAAAGCTTGCTTCAAATCCCAGCCTTGCCTGTAAAATGGGGATAACAACATCTACCTCAAAGAGTTGTAACAACAATCCAGTTCACTAATGTGTGTTTCAAAGGTGCTTTTGCTCCCAAGACTCACCAGCATAGTGCCTACTCATTTACCTGGACAGGTGCTTCTCAAGTCTTCACCCTCCAGCATCCATGGGCCTTCCCTTTGTTCCAACTGAGAGTTCATCCTAGGCTGGGAAACTGGTATTGAAAAGGGAAGAACAGGCTTTAAAGATTGTACTTAGTGCAAACAGCCACCTAGAACCCAGGGGAAGAGAAAACAGGCCGGTCAGGTCATTCATGTCATTTATCCAACAAATGTTTACGGAGCACTTGCTTGGTGCATGCACTAGGGGATACAGCAGTATAAAAGCCATACACGGTGCCAGGATCTTAGTGAAACATTTCTGGAAGGAGCTAAAGAAACAGCCTCAAGGAGGGGTCAAGCCAGCAAGCCAAGCTAGGCCCACAAGCTTCCCTATTTAGGAAGATGGGAACTTACTGAACATGAAGGAGCTGACTTGAGGGTTACTCCCCGCCCCCTGGGAAATGAGAGCATGGGGAGGTGCAGCCTTGGGGAAGCCAAGTGGAATTGATTCCTTGCCATGAGACCTCCCACTTAGGAAATGAGAAGGAATAAACACTGTCCCTAGGGTATACCACAGTAATTAGAGATCTGCACATACTGGGAAAAAGTGCCACTTATTTTCAGTATTGAGCTAATTCTCAATCTTTATTTTATTTTATTTTATTATAGACACATGCGGTACAGGGAGGATTTGCTACACAAGCAGGCTGCATGCAGGTGAAGTTTGGGCCTCCAACTGGCCCTCACTTCTGAGTTTCAATCTTAAAGAAATGGTTTCCTTACCTAGTAGGAACAGGTTCCTAGATGTTTCTGATATTCCCTCCTTGAACCTGTCCCTTGGAGTGGGGACCAGGTATCTCCACCTGTCCTGGGCAAAAGCCACTGTCACACTGCTGAAGGAAGTGGATCCCTGAAACAACAAGCACATTTCTTCTTGCTAGCGCCCTCAGGATCTAGGATAGAGGAGATGGTATGGTGACATGGGCATCTCTGGGGAGCTGGGAAAACGTCTTTGAAAAGAGAAGTCCAGGCCGGGCCTGTAATCCCAGCACTTTGGGAGGCAGAGGTGAGACAACTGCCTGAGTCCGTGGGTTCTAGACCAACCTGGGCAACATGGTGAGACCTCATCTCTACGATTAAAAAAAAAAAAGCCGGGCTCGGTGGCTCAGCCTGTAATCCCGTGCCTTTGGGAGGCCGAGGTGAGTGGATTGCTTGAGCCCGCAGGTTCGAGACCCACCTGGGCAACTTGGCGAGACCTCATCTCTACAATAAATCAAAAAATTAGCCAGGTGTGGTAGTGCGTGCCTGTAATTCCAGCTACTTGGAAGGCTGAGGCGGAAGGATCGCCAGAGCCCAGCAGGTCAAGGCTGCGGTGGCCAGGAGCAGCCACTGCACTCCAGTCTGGGCGACAGGGTGAGACTCCAATTCAAAAAATAAATAAATAAATAAAAACAATTAGCCGAGTGGTAGTGCACGCCTACCAACTACTTGAAAGTCTGAAGTAGAAGGATCGCCTGAACCCAGCAGGTCAAGGCTGGGCAACAGAAAAAAAGAACAGTGTTAGCTCAAGTTGAGAGACTACTGCTTATATGCATGGCCAGAAATGGACATTGTGAAAGAAGATTTAGGATGAATCAAAGATATTTGCTGCTTAGCAGAATATACAGACGGTAGTGTCATCACAAAGAGAAGTGTGAGAAGAGGCTTGTCAGCAAGGTTAGCAGTTTGTTTTTGGACCCAAAGTTTAAGGCAGCTCTAGGAACTCCAGGTACAGATGTCCTACAACACATGAAAACACGGATTTGGAGTTAGAAAAGTCAGGGTGGGAGCTGTAAGGCATACAGGTGGCAACTGAAGCTGTTCATATAGTAGACACCTACTGTGTACAATGTAATCTCGGGTACTGGGTGGAGGGGCAGTCAGGTAGAAAGGAAAGAAAATAATCAGAAGAGAATGCCATAGTACTAACATAAGGCAACAGTTGTCCTCTGGTCAGGTCTCACAGAAAGCTCAATTACAACACAACGCAACAGGGAAACCCACTGTCACCTGCTGTTTCTTGTCTATTCACACCTTGGGGAATGGTGCCACCGTTCATTCACCTAGCTGGGTAAGCGAGAAACCTGCGTGTTATCCTATCCTTCCCTGCAGCTCTGCCAAATCAACCCTGTTGATTCTTTCTTCTAATATAATGAGAATCTGCCCTCTTCTTCCCACCCACTGTGACTGTATGGTTGTAAACCAGATTCATTTTCCAGATTATAAGTATTCTCCTCTCATTTTGCCTGCTCTTCCCTTCCAATACGCCTTCACATTGAAAAATGCAGGACCGGGCGCAGTGGCTCGCACCTGTAATCCCAGCACTTTGGGAGGCCGAGGTGAGAGGATTGCCTGAGCCCATGGGTTCGAGACCAGCCTGGGCAACTTGGTGACACCTCATCTACACAATTAAGAAAAAAATTAGCATCCGGGCTCGGTGACTCAGCCTGTCATCCCACGCCTTTGGGAGATTGAGGTGAGTGGATTGCCTGAGCCCGTGGGTTCGAGACCCGCCTGGGCAACTTGGCGAGACCTCATCTCTACAATAAATCAAAATCAGCCAGGCGTGGTAGTGCGTGCCGATAGTTCCAGCTACTTGGAAGGCTGAGGCGGAAGGATCACTGGAGCCCAGCAGGTGGAGGCTGCAGTGGCTAGGGGCGGCCACTGCACTCCAGTCTGGGTGACAGAGTGAGACTCCAACTCAAAAAAAAAAAAAAAAAATTAGCTGGGAATGATGGCACGTGCCTGTAGTTCCAGCTACTTGGAAGAGTGAGGCGGAAGGATCACCTGAGCCCAGCAGCTGGGACTGTGCCACTGCCCTCCAGAATGAGACTCCAACTCAAAAAAAAAAAAATTAGCTGGGTACAGTAGCACATGCCTGTAGTTCCGGCTACTTGGAAGACTGAGGCGGAATGATCACCAAAGCCCAGCAGGTCAACACTGGGGTGGCTGTGAGCATGCCACTGCATTCCAGCCTGAGAAACAGAGTGAGACTCCAACTCAAAAAATAAATAAATAAATAAATATAAAAGAAAAGATTTAGATAACTTTAAGGTAATCAAAAAAGTAATAGCCGGGCTCAGTGGCTCAGCCTGTAATCCCACGCCTTTGGGAGGCTGAGGTGAGTGGATTGCCTGAGACCGTGGGTTCGAGACCTGCCTGGGCAACTTGGTGAGACCTCATCTCTACAATAATTCTAAAAATTAGCCAGGCGTGGTAGCGCACGCCTGTAGTTCCAGCTACTTGGAAAGCTGAGGCGGAAGGATCGCTGAAGCACAGCAGGTCGAGGCTGCAGTGGCCGGGAATGGTCACTGCACTCCAGTCTGGGTGACACAGTGAGACTCTAACTCAAAAAAAATAAAAAATAAAAAAAAAGTAATATATTTTCTTTTTGTAAAATCCATTATAAAAATATGAATGTCATGAACTGAATAACAAAGAAATATATAATATATAAGGAAAAATGCTAGAAAATTCAAGGAGAAATTTAAAATATTATAGTTTTGAGAGATGTTAAAATAACTTGGTCATTGGCAAAGTTAACTCAAAATGAACAAATTAACAAGAAAAAATAAAGATACAGAACCGAGCACTTTAATAAGGTTAAGCTGACAGAGCTAGCCGCATGATCTACAACCAGACCTCTTGAGTTGAATCCTTAACCCATCTTCCTTTCTTGCTTACAATGAAAGTTTTTGGCTGTGGCTTTTTTTTTTTTAATAATATTCCAAAATTGATTTTGATTTCTTTGTTTGCCCATTTGGCTGGTCTGTGCTTTAGTTTTATTCATTTATGTATTTATTTGAGTTGGAGTCTCACTCGTCACCCAGGCTGGAGTGCAGTGACACAATCACGGCCACCCCAGCATCGACCTGCTGGGCTCCGGCAATCCTTCCATCTCAGCCTTCCAAGGAGCTGCAACTACAGTCAAGCACTACCATGCCCGGCTAATTTTTTTTACTTATTATAGAGATGAGGCCTCACCAAGTTGCCAGGGCTGGCCTCAAACCTGCGGGCTCAGGCAATCCACTCACCTCGGCCTCTCAAAGTGCTAGGATTACAGGCTGAACTACCAAGCCTGACCTAAACTTTTAAAAAATGAAACAGGCCTACCTAGTCTAGTGAAAAGGGAAGAAGTTCCAGCACACAGGATTACATAATAGAATGTGTTAGAAATGATTTGGTAGGATAAGTGAAATGGGGAAATGTTGACCAAATTGTGGAAATAAAAACATTACAATGAGGAACAAACTCAGTTTGAGGAAACAGAGAAAATGGAGACTGGCCAGGTGTGGTGACTCACACCTGTTATCCCAGCACCTTGGGAGGCAGAGGCAAGAGGACTGCCTGAGTCCAGGAGTTTGAAACCAGCCTGGGTAACTTGGGGCGACCTCATCTCTACAAAAAATCAAAAAAATTAGCTAGGTGTGGTAGTATGCCTGTGGTTCCAGCTACTTGGAAGGCTGAGGAGGAAGGATCACCTGAGCCTAACAGGTAGAGGCTTCGGTGGCTGTGAGTATGCCAATGCACTCTAGCATGGACAACAGAGTGAGACCCCAACTCAAAAAAAAACAAAAAAGCAAAAAAACACCAAAACAAATAAAAAACAGAGACTATGACTGAAAGGACACAAATCAAAATGTTAAGTGCTATCTCTGTGGGATTAAGGTGGCTTTAAATTATTTTGTGTGTTTTCTTCTTTTTGTAAGTCAGGGTCTCATGCTGTCACCCAGGCTATAGGGCAGTGGCACAATCACAGCTCACTACAGCCTCAACCTCCTTGACTCGGACAATCCTTCCACCTCAGCCTCCTGAGTAGCTGGGACCACAGGTGTCAAATGTTTTTGCTTTTGTAGAGACAAGGTCTTGCTATGTTGCCTAGAACTGGTCTTGAACTCCTGGGTTCAAGCAATCCTCCTGCCTCAGCCTCCCAAAGTGCTGAGATTATAGGTGTGAGCCACTACTGCTCTGCCTTTTTTTGTGCATGTTTCTGATTATTTCCTAGGTTTCTCTACAATAAACATGAATTACTTGTATGTTGCAAGCATGTAATTCATGTTCACTGAAGAAATTTGTTTAAAAAAAGACCCAAAAGACAAAAAACCCAAACCAATACTATTATTAATATTAGTGGAAAAAAAGGTTGCCTCTCAGAATCAATTTCTTCCTTACCTGGGGCCCAGCTGTGAGGAGACCAGCAGCCATTCCTTCTTCTCCTGTGCTTTCCTCTTGGGGAAGGGCAGGATCCAGAGAAGGCGGTACTGGACCAAGAGAAAGAAACCAGTAAGGCGTGAAAGTGTGCAGTTCATGGAGTTACCAAATCTCACTATGAAGAGGGGGTTCAAAGGACAAAGATACCAGGGCACTGGGCTGAATTTGCAGACCTGCAATACAATGTAAATTTCCCCATTATTCCTACCTCAGAAATTCCATCAACTCACTCAGAGATAGCAAGGCATTAGAGCATTAACAGATTCTCAGGTATCCAAGATCCATTACTCAAGATCATAGTAGTGTGAAAATCATATAACCTCTCTAAGTTTCATTTTTCTCATCTGTAAAATGAGGACTGTAATCCCTTGCAAAGTTCCTGTGAAGATGAAAGGAATATACAGCTAAGCATTTGGCACAATGCCTAGCACGTAAGTATACGTTTATAAACAACTGGTATTACTTAGTTCTTTGGAGAAACTGGCTCTGCAAATTTAAAACACTGGCTTTAATCAAAGGAAGAGGTAATGACCAAGTGGGATTCATCACAGAAATGGAAGGTTGGTTCAACATACAAAAAATAAATCAATATACCATATAAGTAAAACAAAAAAACTCAAAATGATTATCTCAGTAGACAGAAAATGATATTTTATAAAATCTTTAAAAAAACCCCATTCATGATTAAATAGGTGCTCAACTAGAAATAAAAGAAAGCTTCCTCAACTTGATGAAATGCACCATTATTCTCTTGGTGAAGGACTAAAAGCTTTTTCACGGTAAGATCAGGGACAAGACAAGGTTGTCTGCTCCACTTCAACTCAGTGTTATTCTGGAGTTCTAGTCAGTGCAACCGAGGCAAGAAAAATAAATGAGAGGCATTAAGACTGGAAAGGAAGTAAAATTATGTCTGTTTACAGATGACATGATTTTATATAAAGAAAATCCTAAGGAATCCATGAAAAACTATCACAGCTAATAAGCAAGTTTAACAAGATTGCAGGATACAAGACGCATACACAAAAATTAATTGTATTTCTATTATAGAAATACAACAATTGGCCGGGCGCAGTGGCTCACGCCTATACTCCCGGCACTTTGGGAGACCCAGGTGAGCGGACTGCCTGAGCCCACAAGTTCGAGAACAGCCTGGGCAACTTGCCAAGACCTCATCTCTACAATAAACAAAAAAATCAGCCGGGCGTGGTAGTGCGCGCCTGTAGTTCCAGCTAGTTGGAAGGCTGCAGTGGAAGGATCACCTGAGCCCAGGAGGTCGAGGCGGTGGTGGGCGTGAGCATGCCACTGCACTCGAGCCTGGGTGAGAGTGAGACTCCGACTCAAAAAAGAGGAGGAAGAAGAGACCTGGTCGATAACCCACGGCTTAACAAAATCTGAGCCCTGACAGCAAGTTTCCCTCCACAACCTCACAGTCTTACTGGGCTGACCCTGCCTCCAAACTGTGGGCTTCCGAGCATCCTTGGAGGCTTCAAGGGGGGCTGGAAGGAAAGAAGGGATAGGACTCTCTGAGCACGCCCCATTTTCCTCCCCAGAAACTCCACTTTCTGATGTCATCGGTCTGTCAGGCGGACTGCAGCAAAAGGTGATGAACACTGAGAGATCATCCAGGCCTGAGCTCCTCAAACTCTGACCTCAGACTCAAGTCAAAAAAGGACTGCCTCCAACCACCTATGAGAAAGAAGGCTGGGTGCGGTGATTCAGCCTGTCATCCCGGCACTTTGGGAGGCCAAGGGGAAAGGACTGCCTAAGTCCAGGGGTTCGAGACCTGCCTGGGCGACTTGGCGAGACCTCGGCTCTACAGTAAATCGAAAAATCAGCCAGGCGTGGTAGCGCGCGCCTGTGGCTCCAGCTCCTTGGAAGGCTGGGGCGGAAGAATCACTTGAGCCCAGCAGGTCGAGGCTGCGGTGGCCGGGAGCGGCCACT